CCCCAAAACCCCAAAACCCCAAAACCCCGAGTCGTACCTAAATCATTGAGACACTAATTATTAGATTAGCGATAACAAATATGAATTTCACCAATAACCAATATGAAGAAGAAAACTTGTCAGATGAACTTCTCAGCGAAGGTGTGGCTTCTTGCAAGGTTAGAGACTCGAATAGGATCTTACACAACATGGTAAAGAAGTCTCTGAATAGTAAGAATACAACCGTAGAGCAACTCTTTAGCTTCCGGCCTTGAGAAGTATCGCAACATTTATTTAAAACTATTGTTAAGAAAGATTTAAGAGAGTCTCTCAAACCAAAAGATACTATATCATGTAATCAAGTAGAAGATCTCTCTAAAGATCCAAAAGAGATTATTATCCAGCCTGGTAAAGATGAATTGAAGATTGAGAGTACCTTGAAGTCTGACATCAGTAGACTTCTAAGACATATAGTTCAACTAAGAATAAAAAATCAATGCTTATCACCTAATCCTAATCTCTGTGCACTCAGACGTCCTAAAGATTCAAATGATTCTCTTTTTGTCACAATGAAAGACATAGGGACCTTTCGAGTTAGAAGAATTTAATAATTGCATTCATAACTCTCTCAAAAACTTTCTTCATAATCTCTAAAATATTTAATCTAAAGATGTTTCCTAAAATGTCCAGTGCTTGAGAAAAGTTCCCTCACTTTTTCCTAAAGGCTCCTGGAGTTGGCAGTTTAGTCTGAAATCTTAACATTTCTCTACAAAATACCTTAACGAAAAGTCTGAAATATTGTTAGATTATCCAGTTTTCTTCCTAATTTAAGTTTTGTGGTGAAGCTTTCGATAGGCACAAAATAGTGCCAGAAACTCTATTTCAAAATCCTTGCTCACACTTTGAGTCAGGTTGATAAGCTATAAGCAGTAGTCTTCATCATTTTGTTATTTCAACGGGTTAAATGGGAATTAGCTATAATAAGTCTTAAACTTGATTTGCATAATTGGAGAATAATTAAAAGAAAAATCGAAATTATTCGAAGAGTTTATTTGTCCTCAAAAAATTTAAAGGGCTTCATTGATGTTAATATTAATAATTTCAGTATTAATTATTCTGTGTGAAAGAAACTTGGACATGACCTCTGTTATTATATCAAGGTTTGAAGTTTTCAACTATGATCGATAAAAGCCATTTTAGTAGGGAAAGATGATATAATTGAGATATAGTTCAGCAAATTATATCAGATTCAAGTCACTCTGACTCTGGTCGAGCACTCCTCTTCAGCTTTCCTTTCGATATATTTCAAAATGGTTTATCTAGAGAATTATTGATGTATAATATCGTTGTAAATCAGCAGATATAAATGCTAGGTAATCATTCAAAACCTCGGAATACCATATCTTGTATATTTTTGGATAAGGCATCGTTAAACAGACTAATGCAGGGACAAAATAATTATCGGGTTTGCTGAATTGTAATTAGAAAGAGGAAAGTGTAAAAATTTGGGTCAAAGACAGGTGATTTCACATTGATAATTTCATCTAATAACTTTTGGATCCGATTTGTTCTATATAAAGAACAATTAATAAAATTTAAAACAGTATTTCATCTATTCATGATTTCAATTAAATTGCAGATACTATATAAGTTTTGGATGTATACAAAATTTGATAATATTTTATTCCCTATTATTCTTGATCATTTGCTGAGCTTCTGAAAAGCATGAATTTGCTGTCTAGGAGAAATTGTTTAAATCCTTAAGTTTAAAACATGGCAAGCTCAAGATTTTAATAAATAAAAACATAAAGTAAATAGTTATGGCGAAGTTTCTTTGATCGAACTGGGCTATGATAAAAGATATTTACAAATAGCTTTAATCGAACCTCTAGTGGTAGTTTTCTATCTTAACCTAGTATAACAATTTATGAATTATAACTGGTTCTACTCCAATCTACAAAAAATCTTAATCAACATAAGCGCCTCATTAATGGTTGCCTTAAAACAATCTCTAATCTTCCTTAAAATCATCATTAACCCCATAGTGATATTCCCAAATCCTCACCTTCAAAAATTTATTCAACCACAACAACGACCTACGGGGTTTTGGGGTTTTGGGGTTTTGGGGTTTTGGGG